CTATGCTGACCATCAAATTGTGTGCCTCTTCACTGAGCTACCTTCTCCCCTCTGCAGCCTGGCCCCAAGCCTGACCACACACACAAATTGGCACAACACTTCCAGCTTGAGAAGATGGCAGCTTTCTGTTTCAAGGGACAGCAGATGTCCCTGAAAATCCCAGCTGCTCAGGCACAGCTCCAGAGAATCCTTGCTACACAGCAGGTGGCTGTGCAGTCCCCAGTGCAAAGAATTTGCCACTGCAGCTTGTTTGTGCTGGAGCCGAAGAGCTGCTGAAATCCAAGGTCACCTACGCTCAACCAGCCTCGCTCGCAGGGTCTGCTCACCACTCAGCCCCAAGGCTCTTTGCCACTGAACACTGCCAGAGACCGAATGGGCGGACAGCCCTTCTCCTGCTCCAGCAGCACCTGCCCACCCAAAGTACCAGGGTTAGGATGAGCCTGTGAGAGACCATATGTGAGAATAGGTGAGGGTGGAAGCATGGGGACTGGCAGTCAGGATGTGTGCAGGGGTATAGGGGGAGGGTGGGACAGCATTTATAGGTGCTTCTTTGTTTCCCTTGTTCTTTAATCCAAGTACAGTTGGGACAGAAAGAGGCTGCCCTGATGTCTGTGGCAGGGTGAGATGGAGCCAGGGTGGTGCAGCTGGGAGCAGAGGGCATGTCACTGCCAGAGGGTGGAAGGGCTATGTTGTCTGTTAGGCCTTTCCTGTCACCCCCAGTGGAAGGACACAGTGTCTTTGGCTTCCTCTAGGGCCACAGCAGGTCTGATGGGTCCTGCCACAGGGGCTGACAAGAGGGCTGTGCTCTGTACTTCTGAGTCCCTCAGTAGGGAAACAGCCACAGGGCACTTCTGTGTGTCCATCCATGTGCCTGAGTCTCGCTAGCTCCATCTCCATTGTCTCATTTGAGTCTCAGGCTGTCACAGTGTCTGTCTGTTTGCCTGAGTGACTGTCTCAATGTCTAACTCTCCATGTCTCCCTGCTGCAGTGCCTGTCTCAGTGTCTTTCTGCCTGTGCCTCCATGTTGTCATGTCTGTCTGTCTGTTTCCCTGTCACAGTGCCGGTGTGTCTGTCTTACTGTCTTTGTGTTTCTCTGTCAGTGTCTGCCCTCTGGCCTGTTGAGAGTGCTGGGAGGGTGGGGGTGGATGATGTTCACAGTGTTTTGTGCTGGCATGAGCCCTAGAGCAGATGCTGTTTCACAGGGGTGACGCTTTCTCTGCTGGTCACTGGGAAACCAGTGTAAGCTTTCTTGCTGGGGTCATCTGTGTCTTCACCAGGCAGGTTGCCTGTAGAGATGCACACAGATCCTTGTGAGTGTGGTCACGGTCTCTGCCATGGTGTCATTGCCAGTCGGAGCCAGCAGCTGGTCTGGCAGGCTTTGGAGGGGCTGTGCATCTCCCACCCCCTGCCTGCCTCTTGCCCATGCTTCTTCTCTGACCAATTTTGGGGTCTGTTTTTGTGTACCTGTCCCTTTTTTGTCAGTGGTACCTATGGGTCGGGGAGTTCCTGTGGTGGGGGCTGGAAGGCAACAGCCCAGCTGGGAAAACCGGTTTGGGAGGCAGGAGCAGAACCAGGCAGGTTGAGCAAGGCAGAAGGGAAGGGACAGGGACTTCCTTAGGTGGCTATGTCTGGGAGCCTCCCTGGGATGTGAGTCTGGCTCAGCCTGAGAGCAGGAGCTGCAGTGCAGGGCTCCCCCTGAGCCCAGGCTTTCTCTGCTTGTCTGTTGGGGATGCCCAAGTATATCACAGTGTGTAGCCCCTTGCAGGTACCACTGGCTGGAGCCACCAAGAGGTTGGTCTAATCGGTGAGCTGGGTGGCACCCAAGGGGAGGGACAAAGTCGTTGCAGCAGGCAGCCATAGCACCCACATAGTGGGCAGGCCTTGACTGCCAGTTGCTCTGTCCCTACCATACTGGCTCAATGAGGGAGCTCTAAGTGTCCCCTCTGGATAAGGGAGCCCCAACAAGTGGACTGCCTGGGGAGGAATTTGGGGGATGCCAAGAGGAGCTAAGGCACTCCAGGGGTGCTAGCCAGGAGGCTGAGAGTATCAGAAGGTGGCAGGGCAGTGCAAGAGGGGCTGGTGGGGTGCTGGTGATACAGGACCTTGTGTCCTTCCCTGCTCCACAGTCTGGGGCTCTCCCCCTTCACAAGCTGTTGTACAATCTTCCTTCCAGTGTTTGTTAACTACAATGTGATATAATTTTCTACATTAAACTGTAGCTTCTTAGAGCCCTGCTGTGTTGTGTCTTTTTTAACCTTTCGGCTGAGTCTGGAGCAGGAACCTTCTTCCATACCAGCTTCTTTAAGAACGTTGTAGGCACCTCTGGAGGGGACCCAGAGTGGGGATTCTGGGAGCTCCAGCACTGGAGGCCTGGGTACCCTGGAAACCATCATCTTGAAATATATCCAGCCCTTCTCCCCTTTGTCCAGACTCTCTCCAATCTGGACCTCTGTTCCCCTCACCCCCTCTAGAATCACTCTGACCCCATCCTGTACTCCCTTAGCTGTTGGAACCAAACCTGATGGTGGGAGAGGGGAAGACAATAGAAATCATCCCAGAGGCCTCATGCACAGAGTATGGAGTGGGAGGCAGCTGGTGATGAGCAGGAAGGGATGAGGAATCCTAGCTCTGCTTGCTGGAGTATCTGCAACTGCACCCAACATGGGGCATTTTTACATGTGCTTTCAATGCGGTGCCAGGTGTTTTTAATTAGCAAACCATGCTAATTAAAAGCACCTGTGCATAAGATGGATCAGTAGCACAGCATGTCCCCGCACTGAGAAAATGGCGGCAGTGCTCTTTGAACTAAAGCACATCGAATGTGTTTTATTTCAAAGTGCGCTGCCGCCATTTTCTCAGCGCAGAGACGAGCTGCGCTGCTGATACATGTGATGTGCAAGGCTGCCACAGCGCGTCAATTTACACGCTCCAGCAGACTCGATTAATTGAGTCTGCTCTGACACGCTGGATTTCCAGCACATTGGAGCAGGCTCCCCACATGTGTGTAAGTGCCCATGGTGTTGTCTGCAGATTTGCTAAGTGTGCAGTCAATCCCATTGTCCAAATCATTAATGAAGATATTGATACTGGACCCAGGACAGACACCAGAATGGCTCTGAGGGTGTAGGCAGGCTGTGAAGGTGGGAGAATGTGCTGGAGGGAGAGGGAAGAGGAAGAAAACAGAGGGAGCCAGAGGGAAGTGGGGAGGCAGGTAGGCGAGACTGAAACCAGTGACAAAGAAACAAGTGACTTATAATTGAGCAGTGTGATCACTGTAACAGCAGGAGGGTGTGTGCAGCCCTCCAGGGCTTGGTGACACTAGCTAGTGTGGCAATTACGTGCCAGCACTGATTCACCTGGCATGGCTCCTCCTGTTGTCATTCCTGAATGAAACAAGGTTGAGCCAGCCCATTGCTGGATGAAACCATGAAACTGTTTACCTGCAACTGCTGAGCAGTTTTATGGGCCTTGCAAAAGAAGGCTGCAGACGCTTCCATGGGCGGTGACGCTGCTCAGTCTTACACCCTGACTGGCACCTGCTCTGCACTGTGCAGCTGCAGCTGAGCAGGTGTGGCGGGTGAGAGATCCCCTCCGGCTTGATGTTCTGCCATTGCTATGGGAACGGTTCTGCCATCCAGCTCTTAACCAAAACCCTCCAGGAAATGAAAGTGCTTGATGAAGGCAGCACCTAACAATTCCCATGGCCCTGTTTAGAGCACGCTAGAATTACTGACTGGAAAAGCTGGGGAGTCCAAGGTTTTTTTTCTCTACAACACCACCACTTGGTCCCACCCCATGTTCTCACTAAGTGTGCACTCAGTCCCATTGTTCAAATTATTAATGAACATAATAATACTGGACCCAGGGCAGGAAGAGAAAGGAAGCATGAAAGGGATGTTGAGACAAGAGCAGTCTTTAGTGTCTCTAGTGAAGGTCGTACAACATTTTAAAATAGAAATACTCATGTTCAGTTGCTTTTAACTTTTAAATAAATGACCTCTACTGTGGAATGAGTAGCTGGTAGCAGTGGGAGGCTGTTACCCCCTTCATAGGTCAGGCACTGAAAGGGTCTTAACACCTTTTTTACCAGTGGGTTACACACGTATTTGCTAACAGCAATGGAGCATTTTGGACCAGGATTCCTGGGCTATGTTCCTGGCTGTAAGAGCAGAGTAGTCTCTAGTGGTTAGAAAACTCATAACCCCTGGGGCAGAAAGACTTGCCTCTCTGTTCTCAAAGGTGAGGCAGCTGACAGGATGAGCTGTGTGCCTACCTTAGTGCCTGCCATATTCTGGCCCAGGAGCCTTCACTCAGTTGTAATGGCTGAGAGGTACACAGAATTATGAAGTGACAGAGATGAGACTTAAAATCTTGGCCATGGTGGAGGGTACAAGAACATCCATGGGGAGGTGACACTGGATAGTAAAGGACTTCCTGGCAGAGAAAGTTAGAAAGGAGCTAGAGGCTGGAAGCTGAAGTCAGACCCATCCAAATTGGACAAAAGGCTAACATTTAAAAAACAAGGAGGACTGGCCCTTGGAAATAGAGTCTCCAGTGGATGCCTTTCTGTAAGGAACACTTTAGCCATGCACAAGTCTCTGGGCTCAACACAGGGGTCACAGGGTGAGCTTGTGTTATGCAGGAGGGCAGACTAGATGATATAATAATGCCAATTGTAGCTCCTCAAAGTTCACCTATGGTGCAGAAACCCAACAGCAGCCCCAAATACCACCTATGCCAGTACTGTACATGGGGGTTGGTGTGGTACAGGCTGGCCAGAGTGACTAGGGAGGCTCTGGCAGAGCTGGGAATAGGACTCCAGTATGTGGAGCCCACCTAGTGCCATGGCAGCCCCCGTTTTGGGCCAGGCAGGCTTTGAGCCTGTAGGAATGGAGACCTCTGCCCTTCAGAGGTCCCAAGGGCAGAGGCTGTTCCCCATGTTGGAGTGTGGAGTGCAGTGCTGTGTCTCTAACTGGCTCTCTTCCCCTGTTTCCTGGCAGGTGAGCGTGTGCCTAGCCCTTACACCATGGCGGTACTGGCCCTGCAGATGGGGGGCCTGGCACTGTCAGTGCTGGGCTGGCTGGGCACCATCCTGACGTGCACGTTGCCCATGTGGAGGGTGACAGCCTTCATCGGCTCCAACATCATCGTGGCACAGGTGTTCTGGGAGGGGCTGTGGATGAACTGTGTATATGAGAGCACAGGCCAGATGCAGTGCAAGGTCTACGACTCGCTGCTTGACCTCTCCTCGGACCTGCAGGCTGCCCGTGCCCTCGTTGTGGCCTCTATTGTGGTGGCCTTCTTAGCCCTTCTTGTCTCCATCTTTGGGGCCGAATGCACCCGGTGTGTGGATGACAAGGGAGCCAAGGCCAAGATCTCCATCACTGCGGGTGCTATCTTCATCCTGGCTGGGGTGGGGCTGCTCATTCCCGTGTCCTGGTCAGCCAACACCATCATCAGCAACTTCTACAACCCTATGGTGCCAGAGGCCCTGAAGAGGGAGCTGGGTGCCTCCATCTATGTGGGTTGGGCATCAAGTGCCCTCTTGGTGTTTGGGGGGACCATACTATGCTGCTCCTGCCCTCCAAGTGAGGAGAAGCCCTACTCTGTGAAGTACAGAGCAGCCAAGCACTCCAGTCCAGGCAGCTACCCTCTGAAGAACTATGTGTGAGGGCCCTGCCCTTGGTGAGGCTAAGAATCCTCCCTGGGGAAATATCTTTACCCAGCCCCTTCCCATCTTTGCAGAGTCCCATTGCACCTGGCCATGGAGAGGTGGGCATCAAGCCCAAACATGTGCAGTTTGTAGCAGCTCCCATCCTGCCCCGCTTGAACAGCCTTCCCTGTGTGTGTCCCCTCTCCAGCTGCATTCTACTCTGTGCTTGCCACCTCATCCATAACCCACCCCATGTGTACCTCTTTCCCAGCTAGAGCTCACACTTTTATATTTTGCCAGGTCAGGTCCTAGGTCCTCCTGAGCCCTGTAGCCCGTTGGGTTGCTATGGCTACAGCACAGCAGTTTCTATAGCCAAGGGTGTACCAGGAGTGATGTGGGTAGCACTACATCTGGCCAACTTGGACTCCCCAGCACAAATGGCTGGCTTTCCCCCTTATAGCAGAGCCAACTTGGGACAGCCTTTGGCTCAAGCCCAGAAAAGGGCTTGGAACTCACATCTCCAGGGCTGTAATGAGACTTTGAACTACTGTTACCCTACACTCAGTCTGTGTCACAGGCATTCTTGTTCTGTACTAATCACTCTAGCCTCTGAACACCCTTTCTAGCCTCTGAACACCCTCTCATCATGCATGTAGCACTTCTGTCACCTAGTGGTTGCTCTCCTGCCCTCTCCATGGGGAACATGCATATGGTAGAGTGCTGTGCTGTGTGGTGTTCTGGTTTGTACTGCATACAACAAGCATTATGATATGCTTATGTTAACAAAGGCCAGCTGGAGCACATGCCATCCTGGAGGGAAAGTGGACAGGTTTGCAATTGCCCGTAGTTCCCTCCAGTGTTGGATGAGACCCCAGAAACCTCTGCTTCCTGCAGAGACAAGCTTTAACCTTATTGCAGCATTCCATGGGACCAGGGGTTTGTACCTGCCAATTACAGTCCCCACCCCAGAGTTTTAAGTGATCTGGGTACCCTGTGCCCTGGAGAGCCTGGAGGATAGGGACCAAGTGTAAAGCTCCTGCCATGCAGCCTGGGTCACTGGGTTAGCTGTGTAAAGCTCAATCAGACCCCTACCCTTTGGAAGTGGGTCAGCCAAACTTAACAACTAATCAAGGTCAGCTGGCCCCCAACCCCTTCCCTTTGGTTCTGGGGTTGCATTTAAGGAACTCCTCTAGCACCTGAGCCTTGCTACATAACTTGCTGGTTTCTGATCCCTGAGCAGCAGCGCCTGTCCTGGAAACTTCTCAAACTTTCCCAGTTCCTGACACTACTTTTGGCTTGTTCCTGGATTTCTGCTTTGGATTTCCATGCAGATTTGTTTCCTGGCTCCTGACCCCAGTTTGGCTCTGTTCTTAGACTTTGCTCTGCAGAGTGTCCCTCAGATTTGGTAACTAGGCCTGATTCCCAGATCCTGACCCTGGCTTGGGATTTAGTTCCTGATTCTTGTCTCTAACACCCACCCCTCCTGGCTCTACTTGCTAGGCTGGACTGTGACACCAATGCCTTGATCTTGATGTGCTCCTCTCTGGATTGGCAGTGTAGGGGACAGGGAGGGGCGGGAT